AATTTAATGGCCATCTTTTGAATGGTAACAATATAATTTGAAATAGATATACATACTTTCGTCTATATCGTTTTAAAAAACACATCAAACACTTGTTTTGTTCTTGGTATCATGTTTCCAGAGTGAAACGAAACATCTTTCCGAACCTCATTGGAACAAAACGACATAAACACAACATGTTTAGGTCTCTCAATATTGTAATTGTACAAAGGAAATTTTGGTTGATTTTAAAAAAGTATCTTGTTAATGAAATAAAAGGTTTTTCTTGATTTTTATCTATTTTGGGGGGATTTTGTCTTAATTTTTTGAATACTTTTTTAAAATCAACCAAAAAATCCTTTGTTTAACTTTAATATTGAGAGGTCTAAAAACATGTTGTATATGCTATTTTGTTCCAACAAGGTTCAGAAAGACATTTTATTTCATTCTCAAGAATTGGTAGAAAGGAGCAAAAACAATTGCACTAAAAAAACAAAAAATGTTAACAAAAAACAGTTATATAAAATATTTCTAAATAATTTTCGCATTAAATTGTCAATCAGTCAACATTACATAAAATACCATGTTTTTTACAAAATGTTTTCAATGATTGGTTTAAGAGAAAAACATTGTTGAATTCAGTTCTCCATATCGATACCTATCCTTTACACACAATGTATAAAAATACGTTCTGATTGATTCTTAAAATATCATTATCTCTCATTTGATTGGTCAAAATAAGGGTTACTATGGTAACTTGACTTTTGGGTAGGCGGGGCACTTTTTACGTCACGTTATTCATTAGAAAAATAACAGAATAGTAGGCAATTTATGAGTATATCACATGGATTTCTTCTCCGCTTTGTACTTGTACATGATTTTACTTAATGTAATAATAGTAACAACTATTGTCCCATAAGGTTTTAGAAACATTCTCCCTCATGTTTAATGCAAAATAGGTTGCATTCAACCCATTGGCGAGACAGTGCTCTGAAGCCATCTGAAAAACTTGTTTGAAGGGAAATCCGGACTGCAGTCGAAAGTAGTTTCATTGTTTCATAAAGTGCACCTCTTAGCTGATCCTTCATCCTAGTGAAAACAGCAAAATCAAAGTTGTCTCATCTGGAGAGTATGTAACTTGGGGCAGCTTTGCCATCTATTTTGCCAGTTGTTTGTGATGGTTTCCTGCACAATATTAGCAGTGTGATCGGCTGCATTATCCTGATGGAAAAATTTAGAGTTCGGCTGAATGGTTAAGTTTTAATCAACTTACCATAGCATTACTTTAATTTGTTGATTTTCTGGTCCACTTGTACAGGATTGCCTAGCACGATTTCAGAAAGTTCGTGAAAACAAGAAAACATCAATTTTCCTTCAGAACATTTCTAATTAAATAAGAACAAATAAAAACAGGGATCCTTCATTTGCACATATTGATAGATTTCTGAAATGGTAAATCGTGTGACGTAAAAAGTGCCCCGCCTACCCAAAAGTTAAGTTACCATAGTAACCCTTATTTTTGACCAAACAAATGCTGATATTTTAAGAATCAATCAGAAAGTATTTTTTATACATTGTGTGAAAATTCTATGGGAAAATATCAAGAATCTTTGAAATGAGAGCATTTTCCGTGAACTTATTGAACGACCTGGTATTGCGATATTTCTTCCCTGGCCAATCCTCATATTTTATACAATTATGCAATTGATTTTATAAACTATCTTTATTTTGATATACCTCTTATTTCAGACGTAGAGAATTCTATACCACCTCGGGGTCAGATTTTCTGTGTACTTCCCCTACCCACGACAGGAACCAGCCCTTCTGGTCTGCCTGTGCATGTCAACGGATACTTCGCATTAGACCAGGTATATACCATTGAAATCCTTACCGATTTTAAATACAACTTTAGCTAAAAAGGCCAAGCCTTTCAACAGACCTGGATGGCTGATTATTGTGCTAAAAGGTCAGACCTAAAGGGTTTTTTTTCTAAAATTCAGAATAGAGCCCATCTTAAATGGCCAACAGTGGACCAGAAGGAAGACAGCGATCCTCATCTTACATGGAACAAGTGTCTGCTTATAGAGTTACTACCAAAGTGCTATGTACAGCTGATCATGACAGCGCGAGGTCTCTCCCAGGTTTCACCTGCTTTAATCTACCAGATGATCCCAGATTCCACCCAGGTATGTTGAGTGGACCATCCTTACAGAATAATATTTATTGAACTCAATGGCCATATACGACACGATAGTCATTACTGATAAATTACTTAATACCTTCTTCATGAACAAGGCGCTGTGAAGTTCCCTAGCACTGAGCACTGAGCAAATTTGAATGTTTAATATATAATACAGGGTTGTCCAAAAAGTGAACCGCTGCATTTTCCTTAAAACATGAATGAATTGGCTCATATCATCACATCTTGTACAGAAAGGTCCAAACTTTTTGTAGATGCCATAATTTATTCTCAGTCTTGAATTTTGAAGAAATTACAAGACTTAAACAAACATGCCTTAAATTAATTATTGTGCAAACTTTTACCAATGAACGTGATGCACGGAAATTGTTGAAACATATTGGATGATCTGAAAAAAGCTTTCAGTGAGAAACATATGACCATAAACTATATGACAAATGGGACACTATATGAGCAGAAAACACATTTTGCACTTTCATTGATCATTTTGAAACAGTTCAATGGTTAAGGGGATGTTACCTACACAAAGAGTTAGAGGGAGGCAAAGTTACCCCCTGTGACCCAAAATCTGAGAAGCCCTTCATATAAATATCTTGCAAAAATCAAAGGGAAATCTAATATTCAGTGTTTTGAGCCATAATGCATTAGAATTGGTTCATGGTTAATGAAGATATTGACATTTTAAGACCATATTGTTATTTCACTGGAAGATGTTTTCATCTTTGGAAGCTTAGAACATTTCTGTGGATCACAATAACTTTGCGTTCAAAACCAAACAAAGTCAGAAGACGTTTGGTTAGAGGTTATAATTTCTGCAAATTTCAAGACTAAGAGAAATGTATGGTACCGACACAAATTTAAGACCTTCCGCCTCAACATGTGAAAATATGAAAGGATATTTGCTGGTCATAAGGAAAACATAGCCCGTTGCAGTGGTTCACTTTTTTTGGACCAACCTGTATATGTTTCTGATAAAATCATTGAGACCTTCTTTTAGCCCAGCCTGTACATAATGACCAATCATTTTTCATTCTTTTACTTTCAGGTTGATGACAAGTGGAAGGTCGTTATTAAAACGCTTCTTCCCTGGCTATTTCAGAATGAGATCATATATTGTGAAATCCAGAAGAAGTGGGTTAAACTAACAAATTGTGTTGTAGACAACTTACAAAACCAACCGAAGAAAATAAGGGATGTTTTATACGACCTTCTCAGGAAATCTGGGTGTAACGTTGCACAAATCCCGGCCCATGTTCAGAATAGCATCGAAGCATGCACCGACATACTATTGACACGTGTCAGTCCTAGGTATGTCCGCGAACAAATACATGCAAATCCAAAGATATACAAGGCGCTCCACAGAAAAGACAAACATTCTTTACTAAGCTACCTTCTACAAGACGAAGATTTCTCTACTTTAAATGGTTTGCAATTGATGTCTCTACGTGATAACACCGAAGTTGCTTTCAAAACGTGCACACCTTACAATCAACCAAGACATGTATACCTTCCATCTGAAATATACCCCATGGCACTATTTCCAAATCACCAAGCGTATTTTATAAATACAGACAACATGGAATACTGGCTCGTGCAGAAGCTTCACATCGTTGCACGTAGTTGTAAGTATACTTATTTAACTTCATGTCCTAAAATAAGCAGTAGCACTTAAATTCTTGAATTCTTTTCACACGTGATAAATGATTTAAAACAATATCAATAAAAGAATCTATTACATTCACGTTTATAAAACATGTATCTATCGTTAACAAAGAATGGATATTACGTTATAATGAATGCCTAGCTATGTGTGAAAAACTTTTCGAAAATATGTTCGATAATGTAGCTCCACAACTCGATATCCAATCTAACATAAAACACCAAAACGAGGAAGTGCTTTATGCAACATGGGAATACAAAATGAATTCTGAACAAACAGGGTGATCCATTTAACGCTGCCCTCTAGGTTTGGAATAACTTTTCCAATTTTGAAGGAATCTACATGATTGCCTTTGTGTCCAAGGCCTGAAACATTGGTGTTCCTTCATAACAACAACAACAACAACAACAACAACAACAACAACTTTGAGATTTAGAGAAGATTCAGTAAGTTAGGAAATCAGTCTTTCTTTCACCTAACAATCAAGTCAGTTCATCGTATTTGACAAACTTATTGTGGAAAAACAGGTAAATATGACATACTAGATAGAGTACATATTATTTATGATACGCGTGAAAGCAATCAAGAGATGACTAAAATAATAGCTTAAACAGAAATCCCAATTTTAGAAAAATTGTATTTTGGAACGATTTCATGTTAGAGCATATGCCTGAACGATGATTACTCCGAATCTCAAAATCATATATGCAATACATGTCCACAACTGTTTTCTCAATCGAACACCTTACACAAAAAAATTCACAATGAGTCCATCCTATTTCAGAAAGGTATTCTAAGATTAGAGGTTAACGTTTATTTGGGTCACCCTGTAAATGCCTTAACATACTGAAGTATCTAAAAAATGGTAAGAAAATATCGATAACACATAAAGGCAGCAAAAGTAACATTACAAGAACACAAAATACTTTAATGAATGACACAAAGTAAGAAATCTTGGAAAGAAATTATGGGGTAATACAGATCATTTAATTCAGGTAAAACTCAGTTGAGGGAGATAGCAGAGACCGATGCCCACAGGATGATTTTAGAAACTGAACCAGCAGAATGGAAGACTAAGGGCACCGTTAACTTAACACCAAAGCAGGCAAGGAAACACACAGCATGGTCAGATGTTGTTTCCAACTACGTTGTCAGAAACCTGAAAGTCCTAAGTCAGTTTCAAAAGCTACATCTCCTGCAGACAAGCTTTGTAAACCAGTTTTTACAGTTAAAAAAGAACTCGGGAATACTTCTTGAAGGGAAACCACAAATGAACAGCCATTTGAAGAGTTTACTTATTGGCATAGGTGCTACTATCATCGATGACCTTACCAAACCTTGGGATTCTCAAGAGATAACTTTGATAGGACAAGGATATATACAGAGTGCCACCCCCGAGGGAATTTATCAGGCAATGGCTGACAGGGTAGGAATCCAAGGTCAGATACCTCAGTATTTCCAAAGAGCATCCAGACAAGAAAGAGAGGAACTTCAGAAAGAATTAAGCAAAATAAATAGATATTCGACAATTGATCACAAATTGATTGGAACCTTGCCGATCTTTGAAACTAATGATGGTGGGCATTTCCAATGGGTTTCTCTCGATTGTGGCGATCCTATAATGTGCAAAGAAGTCATCCCAATTAAGATAAATGTGAGAATAATCAAGAACAGCAAACAGGTGGAGGGAGTGGCTTCACTAGTAGGGAGAAACGCCCGGAAGGAGGCAGATGTCCTTGTGGACCTGTTTTTACCATATCTGAGATTGCACGAAGATTTCGAGAAACTCATGCTCCATATACTTGTGAACCAGCACCGAATGCAGCAACACCAAGAGGGCTGGAATAGATTGAGGTATAAACTGATGACTGACAAATGTCTAACAGATAAACATGGGAATCTATGCCGTATCAACATGTTGTACCATCCAAACCTGTCAAGTTTGGTTGGTCATAAAGTCCCTCGTGACGTTTACCAGTCACATCTGGTGAAACTACAAGAACTTGGACTTCAAACTGCACTGTCTAAGGATGATATTCTGACGATTGCAAGGGATATTGAATATAACAATGACACTTCAAAATCAGTAGCACTTCTGGAATACTTGGAGCAACATTACCACATATTGCAGGACCTAAGCCTGATAGATAAACTCTCTGAAATTACATGGATAGTAAAAGATGAGACACAGCATGACGAATTACCAAATTCATTACATGTATCATATCAAATTAACAGGACATTTTGGAAGCCAAGTGAAGTTTGTGACAGAAGGTATCTTGGTTTAGTTGGATCCTCGCAACCACTTATCACAACAACAAATTTACGACGAGTATGTGAGGCATTTAAATGGGACAACATACCTTCAAATAACACAATATACCAACACATGGAAAACATGGCCACAAGCTTCAAGGAATTCGAATCAGAAAAATCGATGTATTTCACCTTAACCAAGGCAGTATATCAACAAATGGGTAGAAGCCCATCTCTGGAGAAGTTGTTCACAGAAGACATCGATTTAATGTGGATCTGGCATGGGAATGGATTCGTAGATTCATCTAGAATATCCCTGACCAAAATACGATTCCCCTTGGAGCCCTATACCTACTGTCTCCCAAACGAAATGGAAAACTTTAAAAATATCATAAGAAAGGCTCCCGTACAAGAAGGACCAGCTGAGACAGTACTGTTGAATACATTGGAAAAAATGAATGAAGCCTCAATCACAGAAAGAAATTATGATAGAGATTTGGGAATAGTCGTGAATGTAGTCAATATGATTGCATCTAAGGTAAAAGATAATACCATTAAGTTGGAACTAGTGAAAGACCGACTGTTGCTCCCAGTGAAAAATGACGAGAACATGGATATTCTTGAGCTTAAAAAGATCAGTGAATGTGCATATATGTATAGCGCAGAGGCATGGCTTTCAGAAAAGTGTAGCACCAATGTAATGTCACATAGCTATGTCCATGAATATATATCAGAAGATGTATGCACTTCTCTGGGAGTCCCTTCCCTGATGAATCGAATACAGCAGAAGCAGTTCAGTCTGATAAGCGAGGCAATACCATTTGGGCAAAAGGAAGAACTGTCGCAAAGGCTAAAAAACATTATCAAGTCATATCCCTGTGACCAATCCATCATGAAAGAGTTGCTGCAAAATGCAGATGATGCAAATGCTACTGAACTCCATTTTGTCCTTGATAAACGCCAACACTCTACAAAGACTGTGTTTGTTGAAAGTTGGGCACACCTCCAAGGACCAGCATTGCTTGTTTATGACAACAAACCGTTCACAGAGAAGGACATGGCAGGAATTCAGAACCTTGGCAAGGGAAGCAAGGGTGATGACCCAAACAAAACAGGACAGTATGGCATTGGTTTTAATGCAGTGTACCATATAACTGATACACCAACATTCCTGACTAATGGATCCGAGATAGGCAAACGCCTGTGTGCATTTGATCCTAATCTTAAATATGTGTGTGACAGCAATAGTCCTGATTATGGAATACAGATAAAGGCTGGAAATGATGTACAGGCAATTTATCCAGATGTGTTCTCGTGTTACAGACATGCGTCGTTCAGCGAGGCGGAATCAACACTCTTTAGACTGCCATTGAGAACTGAAAAAATAGCAATCCAATCTGGTATCAGCAACAAGGTTATCAGCCCAGAGAAAGTTCAAAATTTACTTGAAGATTTCAAAAGTGATATGTTCGATGCCCTCTTGTTTGTGAATAGTGTTGAGAAAATTGTAGTTGGATCGATAGAAGAGCATTCAAAAGAAGGGCGAATACATGGCCAATATGTAGTAACTGCCCAAATGTCTGAAAAAGACAAAGCAAAACTCGATACATTTAACAATGAGGTGAAACATCATACAAGCGCCCTAAAAGCAGGGGAAATATCAATCGATAAAATGCCTCTTGTTGAAGTAGCATATGAAAAGGTTATCACCGATAACAACAGAAAAGAGAAGTGGTATATATCTAGAAGATTTGGCTTTGAACAAGGTACGGAAATATCGTCTTGTATCAAGGAGGCTTTTGAAACAGGAGATCTACGTCTTCTGCCCCATGGGGCTGTGGCAGGGCGAACTGGAAAGGAAAACCACAGACCATACAAGGCATTTTGTTTTCTTCCACTACCTGTGGAAATCAATCCACCTGTCCATGTCAATGGGCATTTTGCCCTTGATGATGCACGCCGAGGTCTCTTTAATGACAAGATGTATAGGCATGCATGGAACCAACTTGTTCTTAAGAAAATAGTTGTCCCTGCTTATATCACATATATAGAAAATATGAAAGACATTCTCAATTTGGGTTCTGCTGGACTCTTTAAAACAATAAAAGGGACATTGAAGGAATACTACCACTTGTTTCCTGCCATTCCATACAACACCGACACACTTAGCTACTGGGAATTCATGAATATTGAGTTGTATAAAACGATAGCCTCTGAAAAAGTCAAGTTACTACCAGTAGTTATACAGTCTACGTCGGGTACATGTTCCATAAGATGGTGGTTTCCTGATGAAGATGTTTACTTTGACAACCATCCAAAACAGTCTGATTCAACAGCTGCATACATGGCTTCAAACACAACCAGTCTTTCTGATAAAGATAGAGGAAAGAAACTAGCTGTGAAGAATCAAAGTATATCTGATGTTCTAAGAACTCTTGGAATGAAGTTATTAGACATTCCGAAATCCATTTGTGACAATTTCAATCGTTCTGGTGTTACACTTGAAAATGTCTCTCCAGCTGCAGTTTCCACTTTTCTGAAGACTTGGAATTCAGTGGAACCATCCTGTAAATTAGATCTTATGGTTGCAGTAGAATTGTCGCCATTCCGTGATGTCAGATGCGTGGAAGAAATACTTCAGTATTGCCTCAGTGACAAGAATGGCATAGTTCAGCTAGAAAACCTACCACTCTGTTTACGCCAAGACAACATGCTCTCTCATTTTACATCTGCATATCCTATGTTTGTTTCTGAGTTTGTTGACCTCGTTCCAGAGGTATCTCAGAGGTTTGTCCACGAAGCATTAGTTTCAGTACTTGATAAATATATTGATCAACATGTGTTACGCGGATTATCGATTAGAAGTATAGCCGAGCTACTTCCCCAGTCTCGATATGCACCCATGTTGTATGGGTATTATAGAACAACAAATGTACAAATATCGATGGACTACAACATGAAGTGTTGGATTCAAAGGCTATGGGGATGTATGAATTCTCTAGAAGAAATCCAAGTAATTTTACATGGAAGCGATGTCACAGCAAAGGTACAGAAAATTGAAGCATGTTTACAGCCACTTTCAGATTGGGCAATAATACCAAGTACCCAAATTGGAAAAGTGACTGAACTGACAGCTGACCGCTTGTGGATGTCCAACCGAACAATAGCTAACCCTGTTTTAGTTCCAGTCAGTAGGAGCTACATAGTCTTAGATGTTGACTGTATTAGACCAAATAGCATAACAAAGGACTCTCAGCTTTTGAATGTCTTGATGAAAGTGCCAATATATAAGTTTGATTCCAGTGTACTTCCACCGTTTGCTCAGTCGCTTGTTACAACTGTATGTAATCCAGAGAAGATCCTCCATATGTTGTTATACATAGCAAGACACACACGGGAAAAAATTTCCCTCTCATCTGAGGATGCAAAAACTGTTCTTGAATATTTCTCGGAAAATCTTGAGCACATAAAGAATGTACCAGATTCCAGTGCTTTGTTACGACAGCTTCCATTGTTCGGTACAATGCAGTATAATTGTGTTACTTTACAATATAACTGCATTTCAGTGACAGACATAGATAAACATGACAACCTCCATGATTTAGATGTATATGTTATTCCAAATGGAATTCCAACTGCTGGAATGGACTGTTGGCTCCATGGTAAAACACAGAGGAGATGTTTCTTGCGAGAGGAGAAGAGATTTGTGGAACTATACAACTGGCTTGGATTCACAAGCCAGACTGTGGCAGAATTGTACTGTAGCTTTATGTTCAATCAATTCAACATGTTGAGCCTCGAAGATAGAAAAGAACACATGAGATACCTAAAGAACCGTATTATACCAGATCTAGACCACAGCATCAATACAGAGGCCAATCACTCTTCACGTTCAGATAAAATGAAAGCAACTGAAGAACGAACTGTTCTTCTTCATGGTTTGAGGACACTCGAATTAATAGAAGACCCATTAGATACTAATATATTTCATTGTGTATCAGATTTCGTCGATCCTCTTAACCTTGTTTGGAGAGAAATGAGACCAAATGAATGTTTGACCAAGCCATGGTATCCATCTTACAGAAAGGAAAATGACAGATGGGGACGTATTGTCGATACCAATGACGACTGGATACCGTTTTTTAGGAGGTTCGGTTTGAGATCATACATTAGCCCAGAAGAGTTTGTAAAGTTCGCAAAAGAAGTTGAGAGTGATGTTAAACTGTTAAATATGGATGAGTCATCACACCTCAATACGCAAGAACCCACAGAAAGCGTCTGGGATGACATATTGAAAAAGTCAAAAATACTAGTACGTCATCTGATCCACAGAGAGTATCTTCTAACTGAAGGAATACTGGATAAAGTGAGGAATATCAAGTTTATCTCATCACATGTAGTTAATGAGCCACTGAAAAGTATATTTCCTCAGGATATCTTCATTAGAAAGGATGGGAAATCCGTTTCCAGAACGTACATATGTTTCGAAAATTCTTTGAGTCCAGACTTTGACAGATTAACGTGGACAGTTTCCTCTCTGTTGCCCAGGTATGCAGACATATCAGCTTTACAATATGCAGACCTGCACACTTCACTTTGGACAGACCAACCCGTACAACCTTTGGAATCAATAAGAGAACAGATACACAGATTGCTATTATCACCGCAGAAACCAACAGGTTCCCAAGTTGGCCAAAATTGGTTAAATGTTTGCAAGGCAGTTAAACTCAACAAGCTTAATGATATCCAAAGATCTGGTCTTGTTGATATTTGTACTGAAACATTTGAGTACTTGCAGAAATATGAACATCATAATATAGAACAAAGTGTCTGCAATCAATTAAAGAATAGCAAGGTTGTCTTTGTTGAAGAGGGACATAGACTTGTTATCCCAAGGCAGCTTATAACAAATCCATTCAAAGGTGAGGAAATACCAGGATTTATTTATAAAATACCAACCAATCTGGAGCGTTGTAAGATTATTTTACATAAATTGGGATCCACGGCAAATAACACTCTGTTCCAGCTAGCAAGTATACTCAAGGACATACATGATGCAAGTATAAAATGCAGTGATATCACAGTATCAAGAGATGTAAATGCAAAGAGTGCCTTCAAAAATGCTGTCAAACAGTTTTTTGAAATTGTCAAAAGAACAGAAGAACCTGATTTCTCGGGTATTGGCAGTTTGTACCTACTCTCAGAGGAAGATCAAGTAGTAAATGCGGCACATCTTGTTTGCAATAACAGACCCGCCTACAAATCAAGAGTGGAGGATAAAGTCATCGAGTCACTTTGTTTCATGAAAAAACTCAAAATGTTTGGCGTGTCAGTCGAAAATGAAGTAGACTTGATAAGGCGACTCCCAGAGTCATTACAGCCACAGATGCTCTCATCTATCGTACAAGAGGTCGCAACTGAAGACAGCCTGGAACCTATAATAGAGGGGCATCCGTTTGTGGAAAAATTGAAGTCTATCCTCAGAGATGACAAGTTCTTTCATGTTATTCTTCGATTGATACATGATGATGAAAGCAAAAAACATGAGAAAGACATCGATCTTGTGATAATCGAAAAATTGAAGCGCATACAAGTGATAGGAACAGGACATATCATGACTGTATTGGAGCATAGGGACAACAACGAAACGATACCCAATACAGAAATAACAAGCCATTATCATGTTGTTAATTCTGATTCGAGCTGTCAATTCTACATAAACACAAGAGAAATTTTGAAAACTCAAGTCTTCAATGCCCTTACAAAAATTATAGCCAAATTGCACGAAGGTCTGGTCAAACATCATCTTATCATACGTGACATGCTCAGTGCTGGAAATCTAACTCAAGTAGCTTCGGATCTTGATAAAGAAGGAATACGAGAGTATAGTAAAGTGGGAAAATGCAGGTTCCTTCCTGAACCTGGAGATTATGTACCTATTAATGACCACCACTTACTGGAGAAACGCCTTTTGATCACTCAAGAATTTGTAGCATTCTCCGAGGACAGTATTGTAGATCATATGAGTTATGATTCAATACCTGGCGATATGGTCTACAGATATGCGAAGATTATCACAGAAGTCAAGCAAGGAAATAAAACCTACAAGATTTATGAGATAGACATAGGTGGTGGGGAGAAGGTAGAAAAGCCTGAATTTGAATTGTATGCTTTTAAATCCATCACTGATTTTGAGGACAATACAAGTACAGAAGCAGATCTACCCACTAATGACATGATTAAGGAAGGGGTGTCCAATATTTTAGCAAGTTCATGGGAGTTGGAAGAGAATGTAAGAATTCGTTATGTAACCCGTTTGATGGAAATGTGGCAAGCGTCTGAAAACCCTCACAGGGAAGAGGCATTTTGCAACAGCATTATTCAACATATACTAGATGAAAATGATAGACTATCAAAGGTTAACAGAACTCCTAAGCAAGAAATTTATGACAATTTCCAAGATGAAGAATGCGATAGAGAGCAACCATCATATACTGACTCACTCGAGAAGGTTAGAGACTACCTATATGCTAGATCACAAATACACAAAGGTCAGCGCAAGAGGTACTTAGAGCATATCAAGAGCAACTCAGTAAACTCTGATCCATCCTTCCCTTCATCAACTAGAAATAAAATGTTCAGTTTTGAACAATCACCATCGTTTGGTGCCAAGAACCCCCAGCCTGGTGAAGCAGTAAGATGGATGAAACAAGCAAAGTTTGACCTTGAGGCTGCTAAATGTGACTCTCTTATCAAGTGCAAAGAATGGATCTGCTACATATGTTTACAGGTGAGAACCCTCTGATTGCTATGTTCAGTTGTGGTCTAGCATTTGAAAGATACTAAAAAAGAGGGAGAGCAACAGGGTTTCATTCAAATGACTGGTGTATTTTAGTTTAATGTAAAAATCAACCTCTTGAAAATATATCGATTTCGCTAACCCTACTATCACACCAAACTAGTTCTCACTACGTTCTCGAAAACGGGCTTCAACTGTGTACGAACGGACTGGACCTACTAAGAACCGTTTGGGATCTATTTACAAACTTCATCGAACGTACTCGAACGGTTACTAGTAGGTCCTCTAGAACTTAGAACATGCTCAAAATATTCTCGTGGTCGTCACGTTCTACAATTAGAACGAGTGACAACGTACTAACGACGAGCTGGACGTACTACGAACGGAACCGTCGTACTTCAATCCTACTAGGGACGTTTTAACAACGAGTTGAACTGTCTGAGGACGTGTTGAGAACGATGTAGAACTAGGTTTAAACTGATTAAGAACGTATTTAACACTGCTTATGAACGAGTTGGCAAAAATATAGCTATCACACAAAACAAGTTGCCACTGAGTTCCTCAAAACTGGTTTGAAACTGTGTGCGAACGGAATGAACGTAGCTGCAACTTTCTAAGGTCTATTTACGAACTTTATGAACGTTCCCAGACGGGAATGTGATTTTAGAATTTTGAATCGATTCAAAATTCGATGGCGACCATACCGTTCTGTAATCAGGTCATGTTGACCTTCTAGACTAAGGGACGCGTTCTACGACGTTGCACACCGACGTGGTGCGACCTGAACGAACTGCGAACGAGATAGACGTATTGAAGACTGTTTAAGCACGAAGAAGCTAATTATTTCAGACATATTTCCCGACCACAGCCAGATGGAGCCCGTTTTACGACATTTTCGTAGAACTGGCAAGAACGGGTAAAAACTAGTTTGGTGTGATAGGGGGGTTAACGGTATCGCCAATGTGACTAGAAACAGCAACTCCAAGGAGTAGAGAACAAAAACTTATTTTATTTTATCAATTCTGACTTCTCATTTCGAACTTTTCAGGAATTCATCGGGCATAATGCAAATCGATTAAGCCAAAACATCAGTCTTCATGTTTCTTCTGATTGAAGACAGTTTGTTATAATTATGATTATTATATGTATACTACATGTATTATTTAAGTCTGCTGAGAAAGCCCTGAAGGCAGCCCTGTATTACATAGATGCATTGGAAGCCTCTCTATCACACGATGTACCCAGCATTGCACGTCACTTGCAAGATGATAAGGTAGTTAGCTACTGCATGAACAGCTGAAAATATAGAAAATGAAAAACATGAATTGTTAATCAACTGTTCTAGTCAATGATTTATTTCAAAATATGTTATATTTAATATGATGATATGAACAAATGTTTTTCTTCAATCGTCATGTTTAACTCTGATTTTAAATCAATTTAATGTCATTTAATTTTGTCTTCAATAAAATCTTTCATTTAATTTTTCGACGTAACTCATTCAATGGTTAGAATAACTGTGAGTCTGATTATATTAATTATTATTCATTGTATAAATTCTAGCTTATATCAGCTGCCACACAGCTACAAGCGTTAACAGGGGAGCACACAACCACACGGTATCCGAGTAAAGTACCTTACCCCAAAACGCCACATGATGTTTATCTGTGGAAGGACACCTCTACAGTGATAGCTCTTACCGAGCAAATTATTGACCAGTCACAAGCTCTCATGGATAGACTGCATTGAGTTTTGTGATTCCTTTCTCAAGTAAACAATTTAGCGCAGAGACCAGAGAGTGTCTTTGGTAAGTACTGGGTGTCCCAAAGATGACATTGATATGGCCAGATACAGCAAGGGTGTTAATTTGTACTATAAATGTGTATATTAATGAAAAACAAATAAACTATTGAACTGTTATTGACAATCTGTGCATTATGCCTGAGAAATAATATGCTCTAACAGATTTGTTTATAGGCAGTTCCGATGTATACTGTTCCCTTTCTCGAATGTTTCGCCTATAGACTAGTGCCTTTATTTAAAACAACTGGTCTCGAAAAGAATGCCCATAAACTTTAAAAGGAAAACTTAATGTTTACATGTCATTCTTTCAAATAAACGCCCATGGCCCTGTTAGCCAGAAGCGTCGGAGATACTGATAGTACAAATGCGTACACACTTTATTAGAAAATGGAGCTCAATCCTACATGAATTAGAAATAGCCTTTTTTAATATTAACAATGTATTTTTTGTGTAACCGTAGTATTTAATACTGCTAAATACAATAATATTGTAAGGATTTTACTCTTTGGCTGTATCGCAATTAGAGCATTGCGTAACTATTGTACCTTTACTTTATAGATGTATGTTATACCATTGTAAGTGCATGTATGTAAATTTATAGTGTAAGATATAAATGTTGAATTAAAAAAAGTGAACACACTTTATGGGGATAATAAGCACAACTATGTATACACTATATACAGGGTGGGCCCAAAAAAACGCCACTTTTTTTTTCAAAATGCTATAACTTTTTTAATTTTTGATACAAAATCATAATTTACATAACAAATGAAACTTGAGTTTGTTATCTTGCCATTGATCATGAATTATACACTTTTACTTGAATAAAATATGTCACCAGCGTCTCACTTAAACATGTGGTGTGCCATGAGAAATAAGCATAATTTGCACAGTGTTCCTAAACTGATACGCCCTGATGACCGCAAGCTAATAGCCCTAATTCAAACCCAAGTGAGTATAGGGTATGGGGAGGTCTCCAGGAGATGGTATGAAGGTACCCAATCTAAAAAATTGCTTAACTAAAGCTGGCAATTAGGACACGTTGAAAAAATCTAGCTAACATTTCATTGATACTGCTATATCAGCAAGGCGACTAAAACTAAAATCTATCATCAAATAGGGTGGCGGACCAATTGAACTCCCCTTCTAGATCAAATATAATCCCTTGTTACATTATATTATTACTAAGAACCCTTGGCACTATATAAGTGCAAAATTTGGGGTACGTAGGTTGGAAAATAAAAAAGTTATAGTGTCTTGAAAAAAAGTGGCGTTTTTTTGGCCCACCCTGTATATTACTATACACGATATACTGGGATAATAAGCATAACACTGATACAGTATATAGTACTACTGTCAAAAATGTATACTCAATATATGAAAACTGATACACTGAGTACTATTTGTGCAAATGTGTGCACAATGATACTTTTTGATACTTGACATTATACTTTTATATTCCATTTGGTGTCGGTATTGGTCTTGTATTATTATTGTATATACCGGTACATATTTTCTAAATAAATAAATATGTATATGAATAATAAGTGCAAACACTGTAAGTGCAAGTGTGTCCAGTTTATGTGAATAATAAGCAAAAAGGACATGCATAGTGCAACTTATAAGAATGATAAGCACAAAACAGATACACTAAGTACCATAAGTGCCATGTAGCATGTGTGATTTTTACATTAGCAACGTCTAAGGTTGTAATAGAATGCTTGACATATAAATAAGTTCTATCTTCATGGTAGTAATAAGTGCAATGATTGGCATATAAATAAGTTCTATGTTCATGGTAGTAATAAGTGCAATGATTGGCATATAAATAAAATCTATTCTTGTTATAGTAACAAGTGCAATGATTTTTATATTGACAAATTCTAAGATTGTTCTAGTAACAAGTGCCATGATTAACGTATAAATAAGTTCTATGTTTGTTGTAGTAATAAGTGCAATGACTGGCAAATATTAGCTAGTTTCATAATTTTTTTATGTAAACAAAGTGTATAATTGATATAGGAATGTAATGATATTCTGAGTAATAATTGCTATTCTCAGATTGTTACAGTAACGTGTGCCATGGGAGTGAACGCATAAACATACACAAACTGTATGGTTGTTTTAGTAGCATATGCCGGGCCATGGTTTATGTTATTAACAAATTCTAAGATTGTACTAGTAACAAGTGCCATGATTAACATATAAATAAGTTCTATGTTTGTTGAAGGAATAAGCGAAATTATTTGCATATAAATAAATTCTATGTTATAGTAAGTAACAAGTGCAATGATTTTTATATTGACAAATTCTAAGATTGTAATAGTAGCAAGTGCCATGATTAACATATAAACAAGTTCAATGTTTATTGTAGTAATAAGTGCAATGACTGGCAAATATTAGCTAGTTTCATGATTTTTTATGTAAACAAAATGTATGATTGTTATAGCAATATAATAATGTTCTGAGTAATAATTGCTATTCTCAGATTGTTACAGCAACGTGTGCCATGGAAGTAAACGCATAAACATAAACAAACTGTATGGTTGTTTTAGTAGCATATGCCGGGCCATGGTTTATATTATTAACAAATTCTAAGATTGTACTAGTAACAAGTGCCATAATTAACATTTAAATAAGTTCAATGTTTGTTGTAGTAATAAGCGAAATTATTTGCATATAAATAAATTCTATGTTTGTTATAGTAACAAGTGCAATGATTTTCATATTGACAAATTCTAAGATTGTAATAGTAACAAGTGCCATGATTAACATATAAACAAGATGCGCCAAAACCTGCACTGTCCTTTAGAGACTCCCTGGCTCTGTCCATGCATTCATGCATACCAACTGAAAGGACAACATTTTACAACATCATGTGAAATGATAAAGATGCTAGGATAAACAAAACATTCTACATTAACGAGATTCTTAAAATGGCCGCCGGAACCATCACATTTTCATTGTCCCTGAATTGATAGGGTCTGATTACCAACCTATTATTAGTTCTGATGAAAAGCTCTTTGATTATAAAGTATAGTTAGTCTCCATTTTCGTCCAGTTTCTGTCTTTCGTTCAATTTCTGCAAAAACCTTAATTGTCTTTTTCGGTTTAAAGGATTGGTATCGATATGGTGAAGTTTTTGAACACACGTTTCTCTTAAACCAGTCATCAAAAAATTCTGAAAATTTTACACGCCGTCAATTTAATGGTCATCTTTTGAATGGTAACAATATTG